GGTGCGCGATTTTGAGACCTCTTATCAGATGAATTTCTGGATCATTCAGGTCGTTTGAAGCCGTAGAAGCGTGCGTATTACAGTCAGAATTGTTAGGAAAAAGAGGTCCAGGAAACAGGCAGTCCGTGCAAGACCAGTTTGCAGTCAAGTCGCTAGCAATAAAATATTCATGGTTCTTCATGTTCATGCATTTCGCATGAAACCAGCGATCACATTCATCACATTGCACAGCCTTCTGATTCATTCGACAGCCCTTGGCACACAAAACACATGGATCCCTGATCGGTCCGGGATTTAGGCTAACATCACCGGCGAGAATGACAAAAAACGAAGCGGTGAGCGAGGTATTTACAAGCTTCAATCCTGTTTGAAGTTTAAGCGATGGAGGAACATTCAGAGCACGCGGGCGGCGGTGTAATCCTGAATTTCGACCAGGAAAATGCTTGACATCTAGTTTAGATGCTACAGCTAGCGAGGAGGTGAAACTTGTGATCTTTCCAGTCTGAGCAGGCGTTTGCAACAGTAATAGTATGACCATAAACACGACAAGAGTTGCAGAGCAGCAGGAAAGCCGACCGACCGCCATGTTGACTAGTCACTCGTTCATTAAAAATAGTTCGTTTCGCTCATATAAGTTCATTAAGGTCGACGACTATGACACATTCTCATCAAAGCTTACTACATTAGCATGAGATTTACTCATTTTCAGGTCAGTTTCCAGCAAACAAATGCTCATCTCCTGGTCATTTTTTAAGCTTGGACAACTTAAATGCTCATGAAATCCAGCCTTCAAGTTGACCATAGTACTAATTCCAACATTCGAAGTCAACTCCACTTCACTTTAGCGAAACTCCTAATATTATTGTTGTGTAAAAGCTACAAAATCATTAAATTTGGGCTGGCAAGATGCATGCATGCTTTGAATAGTAACCGCCCAACTGCACGGTCACTATTCCAACATGGCGTCGGGCTCGGGCGCTCTCGTTCGGGTCGACTAATTGCGAACAGTGTCTATACTTGAGTGAGTGAATGAGTGAGTGAGTGAGTGACACATTTGCATATCAGAGTCCCCACAACAAACACGTTCCTACGCTTCGCGTATCCACGAGTTTAAAAAGGGGGTCTTAAATTGAGTGCAAATAAAGAAGTGGTAATTAAGAATGTTTAACCGATTTGAGTAGTAGTGTAACCGAACCATTTATCGAAACATGAATTAGGGAGATCGTTCATGACCATATACGCTAACACAAACGATCTCTTTCCTGTCCAGGAGCCTTTCGCACAGTTTCGTGGCCTTCTCTGTAGAGGCATCGATGCAGACCACAGAAGCACCTTCCTGTTGTCGAGGTAGCTCTTCAAACTCTGCTTTCAAAGACGTCTCTGCAACTGTCTCGGAATCTGCAAACAGCGGG